AGCTTCCAAGCTTGACTCTCCCATGGCTTTTCACCTGGGCCCACACTCATGCAGCTCTTGTTCTCAAGTGACAACAATGGGACTTGTGTCCCTTTGCTCATTCACATTTCAGCCACTTACCTGCGAGTCAACAGCATGTCCTCCAAATTCCCCCCCCTCCCACAGGGGGAAGAACTCCCTCAGACCTGCCTCTACCACGTCTTGGCTTCTTCCTCCCCAAAACAGGGAAGGTCTCTCCTACCATCGATGAGTCCAGCACCTGGAGACACCTCGGCTAGCTGCAGAACAGACACTGACTCCACTCCTCTCAGCCAGTGCAGAGAGACAGAGGATTCACTCTCTCCCTTCTGAGTGGGAACTGGCAGAGGTTTAAAAAGGGGAGGTGGAATGGATTTCCCACTACACATTCTGCTGTCTCAGAGCTCATCTTCTGCCCCTCAAGGCTAGAGCAAAGGAAAAGTCCCAACGTGCTTCTGACGTTTTGCCAAAGAAACCATTCATTGAAGCCAAGCACTACACACTGCCACCGGTATTTCTTGGTCCAAACAAGGGACTGGTGAGCCTTCAGAACTACTGCAGTAAATATCCTTTAAAGAACACTTTATTAAAAAGAAATAAATAAAAAGATACACACACACACAAAACAGCCTTAGGTTTGCTTGTATGCGTAACACAGGGAAGGAGAGCTCTGCCTACACGTTGTAAGCAGCTGAAAACATGACTAAAGGATGGTATCAACCACAGTGCAGTTTCTCAGACTTGGCAGTTTTCCTCCCTCTCTTCCACACCTGTAACACATTTCAGTTTATAGGCAGCCACTCAAGAAGAGAGGTTGCTTGGTTTCCTTCAAGAATCTTCTCTAGAGGAAGCTGTCTGTTGCCTGTGGAACCTGGGAGAACACATTGTGGTCAAAACTAGGTTTGAACAAAAAACTAGCACAAATTCATCTTTGCTCAGCAGTGGTCCTAGACCCATGGCCCTTCAAACACAAACTACGTACTAGTTTGGTGGCAGATACCATCTAGAACGACTAGTCTAGTTGAGGATGTGGATTCAAACCCAGGTTCTGCTTTCACACAGGTTTGTGACCTACTAGTTTCATAGCCTGAATCACCAGGGCAGTCTTCCAACGTATTCTCACCATTTCCTGGTTTACCTGATAGAACAGACAAGTTCTTTCGTAATTTCACAGCAAAGAAACAGCTCATCTTACTGCAAGACAGAGCTGCAGGATATACATTCAGCAGTCTTAGTGATTAACAGGTAACAAAACTAATGATGATGGACAACTTGCTCTGCTTTTGCAGCTGATCACACTCAACCTAGGCTAACTCAGTTGCTGAATCACCACCAGGCTAGTACTATAGCAAAGACCTTCCAAAAACCAAAACATCCACTTTGCTGGAAAACAAAAGGAAAAGCCCAGAAAGGAAATAAGAGTCCAGACATGTTATGCAAGTCAAAGCAGATTATTTATTTATGAAACTGAAAGTGATGACCACTTGTAGTGCAATGACAAGCCCAAGTTTCTTTATCTCTATTTTGAAATGAACTATCAACTCCTGTCTCTCAAAACAATTGTGCTTTGCTATCATGTGCCTGTTCTACAGTCCCCAGACCACATAATACACACTTCTGAGGACAAGGAAGCACCTCTTTGGAGTTCCACAGATAGTTACTTCTTCGTTTTGTAACTTCTGTGACACAAAGCAATCACTCAAAGCATCTTTATTTCAATGTTTCCAGTTGCTGGATTTTGAAAGTCACATTAATGTGACTTAATAATCGTTAATTAATGATTAATCCCCCCATAAATAAGCAAAGTGCAGTGTTCTTAAATTGCAACAATGGCTCCAAGCAAGAGGCCATCACAGAAGCAATTTTTCCTAATAGAAAAATGTGATTAAAAAAAAGATTGCAAAGTATAGTCACTGAAATTTAAAAATAAACCTCTACATATAAAAATATACTGGCACTTTATGAAGGCACAACAGGAACTACCTCAGGCATCCAACTGACAGACTTTGGTACCAACCAGTACAGAAAGGTCCCCATTCCCAAGGCAGCTTGATAGAAGAAAAAAAACCTATCGAGGAACACATGATAAGTATCATTACAGTAAACATGACTGCAATATTCTCCTACCAAACTCAGCATTGAAGCAGTGCAGTGAGCACTGAACAGCTCAGTGCACATGCCCACACTGATACCAAGCAGCGGATGGGCCGTGTCAAACAATGATGCGTGGTATGGTGTGTCACTGTTGCAAGGTGGAAAACAAACAAGGTCTATTTTTCTGTGACAAAAACTGCCAGCAGTTGTGTTTCTTCCGTATTTACATTTCTTCCAATTAGGAACAGGAAAGATCAAAGATACAGAGCACAAGCAGGTAAAAGAATTAGTGTGAATGGTACGATCTTGAGGCACTGAGCACCCACAGTGTGCAAGGGAGAGTGTGGGTGCAGACAGCTCTCTTCACCCCAGCAATACAGGTGGCCAGGGTCAGGCTGTAATCTACACCTTCTTTATTTCCGGCAGTTTCACAGGTGGCCATCCCTGCCATTTATAGTATGACACCAGCTGCTTGGGCACTTCAGCCAGAACCATCTGGGAAAGAGCTTCCCGGGGAGCCTGCAAGAACAGGGAGAATAAATCAGAAATATTGCAGAGAAAGGATTTATCAGCCCAGTGACAAGCTCTCTTACAGAATTCAGAGTACAGCTCCCCACCTGCCACGTCTCACTCCCTGTTTCAAGAGTTCCTTGCTGCAGTTTTAGGAGCACTTCCAGTCAGTCTCAGTGAGCACTGCTGATGAAAATCACTTGTTCCCACCCCTGCACTGCTCCCACCTCAAGCCCAGGCTCACACAGCCTTTATAGGGCCCTGATCTGTGTGGGAAACTGCCCCAGCCACTAGCAATTTCTCTTATTTTGGGTTTTCATTTGACTCCACTCTTCAACCCAATTCACTGCGCAACATGCATGAATGCTGGTGCCAACAGTGGAAGTAGGGAGGAGCTGGGGAATGACAGGACTGCTTTCAACAGCAGGGAAGACTTAGCTTAAATCACTCATGATTTAAGCTAAGTCACTCTGCTCACTCTGACTCAACATCAGACACTGACAATATGATCCCAGTTCCTTGCCTAAATGTTTCCATCCCAGAAAAGAAAACATCTCCTTTACTCCTTTAACTCTGCAATGGCCAAGAGATAGTATACTAAATCAATGATACAATGAGAGCTCTTTAAGAAAAGCTGCAAGAGACCTGCGACAAAGCACACAGTTTCGAACACAGAAGCAAACATCTCAACTCTCACTGGGAACAAGCAGCTTGGACAGCACTTTGAGCATGCAGCTTGCTGCCTTGCCTAGACCCATGCTCATTTTTCAGATGTAAACACTGCATATATACTGGCACCAGGACTCTTCTGAAGTTAAAGACA